AAGACAGTTGCAGGATAACATTGTTAAAAAAGGAGGACAATCGAGCCAGCGAGATTCGATCTTGGAACTTCTTGAACTTCTTGAACCCGCTTGACCACTACTCCACAGCCTTCGTGTTTGTCAAGCGGGTTCATTTGCAGCAATATCACAAGAAAATTGTCTTTTTCCAATATAATTTAAATATGTAAATAGTATATTTTTTCGCGAAGCGGATTCAGTTGAACCCGCTAGATTCAACGTGGGTCCGCCCCTGAGTATATGTATGAAGATTGAAAGATAATATTGAGCCAAAGTTTAAAACTAAATAATAAGTAAGATACACTATCAAAAAACCAGCTATTAGTAGTCATAAACACCCAAAAAATGCACCAATGATGATTAGGTATATATGACTGGTAATCACAAGTCCTTTTCTGTCCCATTATACTATAGTCTAACCGCTATTGATGATATGAGCTATATCATTAAGTTAAGAGTGTATGGACTAATGATCACTAATGTGCATTAATTTAATTAAACATGTCTACGGACTTGAGGAGGCACAAATTAGACCACCTTTTAGAACGAGCTAGTTTGTGGTCCTTGAAAGAAAGTAATTGGATCATGTTTTGACTTTTGAGCAAAATTTATTCTTCGTATGTTTTTAAAGTTCAAGACATGAAGTGCAACTGTTCAACTAAAATATTTCAGCAATGACCAATTGCCCCAGAGCAAAGTTGACCTAAACAGTAGATTAGTTCAACACTTGTGACGATCCGGCCGGTCGTCTCATGAGTTACCGCTCCGTTTTTCCCATTTCTGCTTCTATTTGCTTTAATTATCGGTTTTATATGTGATCGGGGTTGGTTGGTTCGGGTTCGGAAAGGTTTTGAGAAGGTTTGAGACACTTAGTCTCTTTTAAGAAGGCTTAGGTTGGAAAAGTCAACCGAATGTTGAGTTATGTGTTAGAGGGCTCGGATGTGAGTTCCGATGGTTAGGATAGCTTCGGTAGGTGATTTGGGACTTAGGAGTGTGATCGGAATGTGATTTGGAGGTCCGGAGTAGAATTAGGCTTGAATTGGCGATATTGAGTTTTTGGCGTTTTTCGGTTGATAGGCAAGATTTTGATATAGGGGTTGGAATGGAATTTTGAAAGTTACAGTAGCTTCGTTATGTCATTTGGGATGCGTGTGCAAAATTTTAGGTCATTCAGACGTGGTTTGGTATACTTTTTGATCAAAAGCGGAATGCGGAAGATTTTAGAACCTTAGGCTTGAATTCGATGTGTTTTGGCGGTTTTGATGTTGTTTGAGGTGTTTTGAGGATTGGTATAGGTTTGAATAAGGTTATGGATATGTTTGTGCTTTTGGTGGAGGTCCTGAGGGCCTCGAGGTGATTTCGGATGGTTGACGGGAAGTTTGGAAGTTGGTTGTGGCAGCTGAAGTTTCCCACTTGCTGTCATAAGCAGGAGCGCAAATGTGGTCGCAGATACGGACAAGGGTATGACCAGCTGGAACCGCAGAAGCGGTAGGGGAAGCGCACCTGCGATAGCGCAGGTGCGGGCAGCATATCGCAGATGCGATTTTGGCCAGTTAAGTAGAATCCGCAGGTGCGGCCATGGGGACCGCAGAAGTGGTCTCGCAGGTGCGACTTCTGGACCGCAGGTGCGAAAAGCCTGGGTCAGAATGTTATATTTCCTCCTTCGCGATTTTCAGAGGGTTTTTTCACTTTTAAACACGAATTTGAGAGCTTTGGGCGATTTCGAAGAGAGAATTCAAGGGGAACTCATTGAGGTAAGAATTTTGGACCTAAAAACTCGATTATATGGTGTTAATGCACGGATTAGAGCTGTAATTAAAGGTAAAATTTGAGAAACTAGGGCTTAGAAGCCTAGGCCTTTGATCGAGGTTTTGGAAGACCATTTGTGGTCGAATTTTGGAACATTTTATATGTATGAACTCGTGGGGAGATAAGGAATCTAATGATGTTAATTTTATCGAATTCCGAGACGTGGGCCCGGGGGCCGGGTTTCGGTAATATTAGGATTTGTGATGTTTTTCGATTATTTTCGAGTGGGCTTCGTCCCTTTAGCATAATTTAATGGTTACGTTCTGATTTTTGGTAGATTCGGAGCATCCGGAGAACGATTCGAGGGGCAAAGGCATTGCGAGCTAGATTTCGGGCCGAATTGAGGTGAGTAATGATTTTAAATGCTGTCCTGAGGGTATGAAACCCCGGATTACACAACGTTCGGCTGTGTTGAGGTGACGCACACGCTAGATGACGAGCGTGGGGTCGTGCACCGTTGGGGATTATGACTTAGTCCATCCCGAATGACTGTTTTACTGCGTATTTGATAGTTAATTGTTTGATATTGTTATGTCTTAGGCTAAATGCTATATTTGGGCTTCGTGCCAACTGTTTGAACCCTTAGGGGATTTTCTTTACTGATATTTTCCTCACTATTTGATTTCATACTTGTGCTCAGTCATGCCATATTTTCCTGTTTTCAAAAACTCAGCTAAGTTATTCTGTTTTAAACACCTTAAATGATATTTTAAAAGATGTTTTGAGCTGAGCTTCATATTTTACTGTTGTCCGAGGGGCTTATGAGATTCTGACTGAGTAAGGCCGAGGGCCTGTATTGTGAGGATACTTTTGGGTCGGGCTGCACGCCGCAGCAGTGATATACTGATTGTGATAATGAGGCTGAGGGCCTGAGACTGTACGCCACGAGGTGGCTTGTGATTGATATGAGGCCGAGAGCCTGTTTATGATGCCACGAGATGGCTTGATATTGCTTGGGCCGTAAGGGCCCCTCCCGGAGTCTGTACACCCCCATTGAGCGTGGGTACCCATTATGATATGAGATATAGCCCGAGGGGCTGGTATTGTTCTGTGATATTGCCCGAGAGGCTGATTCTGCTGTTGTTACTGAGCCCGAGGGGCAGTTCTTGTGTGTTTACCTTTCTAGCTGCTTTTCCTTTACATGTTTAACTGCTTAAAAGGTGTTTTATGAGATTTCACTGTTTAATTATGTGTACTTATTTTGTTCTGCCTCTTATAGCTTATTGTTGTGTTTAACGTGATTTTATGTCGATCAGTCTTCATTTATTGTTATTACTCACCGAGTTGGAGTACTCACTTTACTACCTGCACCCCTGTGTGCAGATTCGGGCGCTACAGGTCCTGCTACTGTGGGTTGATAGTTTCCAGCAGATCTTCGGAGATTTACTAGGTAGCTGCTTGGCGATCCGCAGCCGAGTGCATTTTCCCTCTATTTTATTTCCCCTTTTTGATTCAGTTATGTAGTCGTGGATTAGACTTTCAGATTTGTAGTATTGTTTTAGATGCTCATGACTGGTGACACCCCGATGTTGGGCTGTGTTGGTTTTTTATTCCGCAATTTATACTATTATCTCGGGGTTTTATTTCTATTAAAGACTTAGTATTTATTTAATTAATTGCTTATAGTGAATTGGAAGTGTGTCGGCTGGCCTTGTCTTCATGAGATGCACCATCATGACCGGGTTTGGGTTTAGGGTCGTGACAAGTTGGTATCAAAGCCTAGGTTACATAGGTCTCACGAGTCATGAGCAGGTTTTGTAGAGTCTCGCGGATCTGTACGGAGGCGTCTGTATTTATCCTCGAGAGGCTGCAGAACCTTTAGGAAAAATTCCGTATTCTTGAAATTCTTGTCGTGCAAATTTGTTGATCCGAGTACTAAACTTCTGCTATTCTATTCTCTCACTGATGGTGAGCACACGAGCGACCAGTCAGGANTAATTTTCACTGTAGGTATTATGGCAGCAATTAATATATGCGTTATGGGTTATTGTGTGTGTTTTGATCTATGACTTCGAGCCAAGTGGGGGAGTTTGCCATTGATTAGCTGATTTGCATGGTTATGTGCTATGTTGGTTCCAGTTTGAGGCGTGCTGGTGAATCAGTTATGGTTAGTGAAAATATAAAAAGTACAGTAAAATTATTTTAACAAATTAAAAAAATTTATAAAAATAAAATATCTAGCATATTGTTTACAATTATAAATAATGTAATAATATTGAAGTTGTTATACTTCAAGCAATTAAAAAAATTGCACTTGCTTAAAAAATATTATCAAACTACATTTTACCTTCCTAAAACTAAATAACTAATATACTTTATTAATACTATGATTTAAAATATTACTCCTTCGTGAATAAATAAAAGATTACTTCAAATATCAAAATAATGAAAGTTTGTAATTTTGAGAATCGAATGAACTAAGACACGGCCAATAACAAGTGAGAATATAAGTTTCGGCTATCTATTTTCAAAACAAATTCAAGTCATATTCAACCTCATAATATTCTTAATCCTCTCAGGTAACATTGAAAATGACGAGGAAAACGAAGAATGGATGGGGAGGGCAACAACGCATGGTAGAAAATTCAAGTAATCAATCGAGAAGAACTGCAGTTCCACAGTCAGCAGATGCAAAGAAGACGAGGAACATAAATGCAATTCAAGGAATTATGCCGTTAGGCTTAAGTCAAGGATCATCAATGACGCCAATTGCACATGCAAAACATTCTTCTGACTCGGTGACGACTCCATTGAATCTGGCAACAACTTTGGTGATTCAATTAGGTGGATCATGGGCGGATAGAGTAGAGGCGGAAATCATGGAGACAAATGCGGCAAACCAGGTACAATTGAATACAAAAACTAATCCATGGAGTAAAATTGTGCGTAGAGTACTAGATAGAGAGGGATTAGACCTAAATTGTGAGGAATTGGCAGGAGAAAATGTCAAAGTTACGATGGATGATATCAAAGATGAAATCGTCTACTGGAAAACAGTAGTGATATGTTATGTGCTGGGATCCAATCCACCACTGACTGTAATTGATGGATATTTTAGAAGAATATGGGGAGGTTTGGGGATTGACAAAATTGCACAAGTGAATAGAGGAGTTTTCCTGATAAGGTTTCACACAATTGAAAGTCGAATCAAAGTTATAGAAGATGGAGTTTAGATGTTCGACAAAAAGCCTATTGTAGTAAAGCCTTGGGAACCAAATGTGGATGATAGTAAGGAAAATATGGACAGAATTCCAGTGTGGATAAGGTTGAAGGGTTTGGACATCAAGTACTTGGGTAACAATGCCCTAACTAAAATATCAGGACTGGTTGGGAAGCCATTAAAAGCTGACAGAGCTACCACAAATAAGGAGAGATTAGCATTTGCTAGGGTGCTTGTTGAAGTGTCAATAAATCAGCAATATCCTAAGCAAGTAATGTTTGAGAACGAAGTGGGAAAAATAGTGAAACAAGAGGTATATCATGAATGGAAGCCAACATTATGTTCAAATTGTAAAAACTTTGGACATGAGTTACAAGATTGCAGGAAACTGCATAAAGAATAAGCAGAAACTAGAAGGAAGCAGCTGGAACAGGGGGAGAAAGCAATAGAAGGTCCAATTCAGAATAAGGAGAATAAAAAGGGTGAAAACAAAGTCAGTGAGAAAGGGTTAGAGAAACAACTGAATAATCCTGCGACTATAACAACAAGAAATGCACTTGAGGTACTTAACAAAGGAGGAGGTATAGAGGAGTTGAGGCTAAATAAAGCTAGTTTTTCCTGCCCAGAGGGAGAGATAGTGGAGATGGGTCTAGGACGTGGAAGGGGAGGGGGTACACCCTGCCTAATGGATAAGATAGGATTCTGGAATGTAAGGGGACTAAACAGGCTAGATAAACAGAGAGAAATACACCTGTTTATGCATAATAGTGGAGCTAGCTTGTTTGGTCTCCTGGAAACAAAGATTAAGAGATCAAAAGCTCACAGAGCTTCTCTTAATCTTTGTGAGGGGTGGTCATTTACAAAAAAATTAGCACATCATCCTAAGGGAAGAATTTGGTTACTATGGAAACCAGTGATTTTTGACGTGGATAGATTAAGAACTACTGATCAGCTAATTCATAGTGCAGTTAAACATAAAGGAACAAGGGTGACAATCAATGTAACCATGATATATGCATACAATGATATAACTCCAAGGAAAAATCTATGGAAGGAGATAGAAGATATATACAGGCATACTCAAGGACCATGGGCAGTGATGGGGGACTTCAATAATGTGTTGAATAAAGATGAAAAAATAGGCAGTACTGTAACAATGGCTGAAACAACAGAATTCAGGCAATGTGTGAATATATGTAGCCTGCAAGAGCTCAAGTCTACTGGTGCTTTCTATACATGGAATAATAAACAGAGTGGTGAAGATAGGTAATGAGTAGAATCGACAGAGTGTTGGTAAATTTTGATTGGCTATCATTGTTACCTGCTTCAATAGTGAATTATATGACTGAGGGGCTGTTTGATCATAGCCCAGCTATCATTAGTTGGGAAAATGGGAAGCAGAAGATTAACAGATATTTTAAATGCTTTAACATGTGGAGCATGGATCCAGATTTTAAGGGGAATGTGGCTAATAACTGGAATACTGGAATCACTGGGACCAAAATGTATCAAATTGTGGGAAAGCTGAACAGATTGAAAAGGGTACTTAAACAACTAAACGGAACAAAATTTAGTAATATAGAAGGGAAAACATATCAAGTCAAGATGGAGGAGTGTCAGAAGCAAATGCAACGTAACCCCACAAGCATTGGTCTTATTGAAAGGGAGCAGGAATTAGCAAGCAGTTATAGAAGATATAAGGAAGCAAGGGACCAATTCCTTAGGCAGAAGAGTAAAATACAATGGCTGAAACAAGGTGACCAAAATAATAAGTAGTTTCATAGCTACATGAAGGAAAGAAGGAATGCTAACAGAATACTATCAATCAAGGACTCGATGGTCAATATGGTGACTAATATAGATGGGATAGCAGATGCCTTTGTGGAATTCTATTCGAGTTTACTAGGATCTAATACAGCTAGTAGAGAGCATGTTTGTAGTACACTGGCAAGGAAGGGCAAGATGGTAACAGAGGAACAAAGACAATTATTGATAGAAGATTTTACAGAAAAGGAAGTCAAACAAGCACTATGGCAAATAGATGGAGAAAAAGCTCCTGGTCCAGACGGGTATGGGAGTATGTTCTTTAAGGATAGTTGGGATATAACTGGTAAAGACCTTAAGGAGGCAGTGCTGGAGTTTTTTCATCAGGGAAGCTGCTGAAGACCATCAATAGAACAGTAATAACAGTGATTTCTAAAAGCAATCATGTAGAGACAGTTGGGGATTATAGACCAATTGCTTGTTGCAATACAGTGTACAAGGTCATATCTAAAATATTGTGTAACAGGTTAAAGCTCATCCAACCAGACATAATATCAGAGAACCATAGTGCTTTTGTAGCAGGGAGAACAATTATGCAAAATATACTAGTATGTCAAGACTTTGTTAGACTGTACCAAAGGAAAGCCGCAACTAAAAGTTGTTTGATTAAAATAGATCTTAAGAAGGCCTATGATTCTATAGAGTGGGAGTTTGTGAAAGAAATGTTACATGCTATAAACTTCCCTATGAAATTCATCACGTGGATCATGGAGTGCATATCAACCCTTCAATACACAGTGGCTATGAATGATGGACTCTATGGGAACATAAAAGGGAAAAGGGGTTTGAGACAAGGAGATCCCATATCTCCTTTACTATTTGTAATATGTATGGAATACTTTTCAAGGATTATGAGGCTTGTGATACAGCAGGAGGGGTTCAGGTTTCATACTAAGTGTAGAAGTCTGCAGCTTAATCACTTATGCTTTGCGGATGGTGTACTACTTTTCTGTAAAGGGGAGTTTCATTCTGTGATGCTAATGTTGAGAGGATTACAAGCATTCTCCAATTCTTCTAGACTAAGTACAAATGCAGGAAAGTCGAACATCTTTGCTGTGAATATGGAAGCACAGGAAATAGCAAACCTATGTGAAATAACAGGGTATAGCCAAGGCAGACTTCCATTCAAATATTTAGGAGTCCCAATTTCATCAAAGAAGCTCTCTAAAATGGATTGTCAAGCACTAGTAGATAAGATGGACATCAGAATAAACAGTTGGGGTTCAAGGAATCTATCATATGCAGGTCGAGTGCAAATGATAAATGCAGTTTTGATGCACATCCATACATACTGGGCTTCAATTTTCATACTGCCCAAAGCAGTCCTTAAAAATATCACAGCAATGTGTAGAAACTATTTGTGGGATGGTAAGGTTTCCTAACAAATAGATTACCTTTAGTAGCATGGGACCTTGTATGCCGACGAAAACAAGAAGGAGGAGTTGGGATAAGAGAATGTGTAGCCTGGAATGAGGCTGCAATAGGAAAGTATGTGTGGGATATAACTCATAAGCCTGATACACTATGGTTTAAATGGATCAACCATATCTACCTCAAAAATGTAGATTGGTGGCAGTACAATGTAGCAAATGACAGTAACTGGTATTGGAAAAAAATTTATCATGTTAGAGACAAATTGGTAGAAGGCTATGTAAACAGGGGATGGCAGTCAAATATAAGGAAGTATACTATACAAAAAGGATATGACTGGCTGAGAGGGTCTCTAGACAAATGCCAATGGGGAATATGGTTCTGGAGCAAACAAAACATGCCAAAACATAGCTTCATATGCTGGCTGACTATGCAGAAGAAGCTACTTACAAAGGATAGGCTGGGTCGTAGAGGGATGAATACAGATGGTTTATGTGTTTTGTGTGGAGATGAAAAAGAGACTATTGAGCATCTATTCTATGAATGTCAGTTCTCAAGAAGATGCATAACTATAATACTCGAGTGGCTAAAGATCAGAGTTACAAATGTGGAAGGGCAGCAGTTGTGGAAAAGAGTAGCAAGGAAAATGGTTGGCAAAATGAGAAGAAAATTTGCATTTGCAGCTGTTGATACCCAATTTTTCCCTAGATATTTTTATACTCAAAATACTTTCAAAATAATATATATATGCATATATGAGCATACCCAAGTGTTTTGGTATTTTTCCAAAATTTTAAAGATTTTTTAAACCAATTTATTGTCTATTTTTATACTACAAAATTCAATAATTATTCCCAAAAAATTTCATTTTGTGAATAATTCATTTTATTCTTATATTTACACCAAAATATAATTAAGGTGATTTTTGCATATTTTTTACAGATTTATTTGGCATTTTTAAAACTAAATTGCATATAATTGCAATTATAGCCTATTTTACAATTAACAGCATTTTACAATTATAAAATCGTTTCCAGTATTTTTAGATTAATGTTTATACATTATTAGTTACTTAAGTTCTTTTAATTTGTTTTTAAAATCATTCTCACTATTTTATAAAATAAAAAAAGGGGAAAAATGGCCATTAAGTGCTAGCCAGATTTTATTTCAATTGTAGCCACATTGGACCCCCAAATTAGCCCAATTTTAGACCCAATTAATCTAGCCCAACAACCCGTTTGAACCGACCCACCCGGTCTCCCACCTAACCCCTTCTAATCACAACCGTTGATCTAAAAGATCAACGGCCCAAATACACCCTTTCCTTTTTAATTTACCAAACCCCCCAACCCTAATTCATTTCCCTCTACCCGCCGCCCTTGAATTCCCTTCCTCTCCCATTCTCTCTGCAAACCCTACTCGCCGCCACCCAAGCTAACCCTAATCCCTTTGATTCTTGCCGGTTTCCATGGCTTCTCAGGCCGTGAAACCCTCATACTCACCTCCTATCGCTCTGGTGCGCTTGGTATTTGAAGGTTTGAGGCTAGACCTCAAAGGTCTCCACCCAGATCTCCGCCGACTTGAGGGTTCCGGCCATCTCCAGCTTGGCTTCGGCATATCTTAGCCTCCTGAGCTTGTTTCCAATCTTATCCGACTTAGATCGGACATTTTCCAAAGCCTTTCTCGTTCTAGGGTTCACCTGAAACCCTAGCTGTTCGAGGTTTTTCTCCAATTCTCTTCAGATCTGTGTGTATTCATGCTTTACTTTGAGTTTTTAAAAGGTTTCCCTAACTTTTCTTTATAAAATTCTTTTTCCAAAGTCACTTCTTTCTGATTTAGGGTTTCTGAAAAAAATGCTTATGTGTTTTCCGATCTTTCTTCTCCCTTTCTCGTGTATGTTTGTCTCTACCATGTTCTTATGTTTTCTCTTTTTTTTTACACATGTTCTTCTGCTATGTTTGCTATATTTTGTTCTTCCTTCTACTATATTCCTGTGCTATGTTTTCACATGCTATGTTTCTGTGCTATGTTTTCACATGCTATGTTCTGCTACTTGCCTTCCATTACGACTTGATATGCTTCGCCTACTGTATTTTTCTACCATGTTCATTAAGTGTTCTTACTATGCCTGCTTAAGCATATTTTCCTCTACTGTTTCTTCTACTCTCATCGTGGTTCGAATTAATTCCATGACTCTGTTTGCATTAAACGTTCTAATGTATCTGCTTGTTTCCTCTTCTTTGCATTTGGTTCAAGTCGAAAACCCTAGGATTTGGGGTTTTTGGCGAGTTTGGTCTTGTGTGTTTGGGCTAGGGGTCTATTTTAGCCCTGGACTCTCTCAAACTCACTTGGGGTCCATGTACTGAGTTTGAATCCTTTTGTGTATGAATTCTTCTATACTAGACTCCTCTGATTAGCATGACAACCCCTTTTATATGTGTTAAAATCTTTCTTCAAAAGGTTTTCCAACTTGTGTTCGAATCAGAATCCTTTTTTTGGGGGTTAATTGATTGCTACTGAGTCTTCTTATGTAAAACCTTTTCCTTAGCCTTTCTGACTTGGTTATTGATGAACCAATAGTTGCAAATCTCTGATTCCTTGATTTATTGGGTACTGATTGGTTCTTACCTTATTTGTTTGACCGTGTATTTCAAAATTTCTTCCCTTAATTAAACTCCTATGTATTTACCCCTAATTGCCTACTTTGCACAAGATGCTTACTTGATCTCTTTCCTTAAGTATTTAAGTTTGAACTCCTTAATTAAAGGAAGTTCTTCTACTGATTGATTCTACTTGGTACATGGTTATTTCTTTGCCTTATTCCTTGCCTGTTTTCAAACTATAAATACATGCTCTTTTATTAACACAACACACCAACATTCGTAGTTTTCTGAACTCACACTCACACTCAAAAAGTATTCTCTCTTGTTGCTTGTACTGTGGCCTATTTGCAAGACTTCTGCTTTCTTTTGCTTGTCTCTTTCTGAAACTGGTATGTCCTAGTTTTAATTCCAGCATCAACTCTAATGTGTTTACTTACCAATTCTCCTGTCGATGCTTACTTTACTGCCTGTA